ATCTAATCCTTACTTCTAATATGATCCAAACCCAACTAAAACCTTGATAAAGGAGAATAAATAAGCAGGGTAGTCCTCTGACATCAAGACCTCTCCTCCAATTCTTGAGTAGAATCCAGGAAGATGAAAGACCTAATTTTCCCCTTTGTCCTAAGGCGTAGCAGAGTAGAGAAGAAGTTTCCATGACCAAAAGTGGAATAGGGGTATTACAGTGTAAATAATGCTCCTGGAAAGCACTCGGACAAGTGTTTAGAAACACAGACCCTTGCAGAGGTCTTTCTATGGGGACAAAAAGATGTAGCTATGACTTAAGTGAATCAAAGTTGAAGACTGCAAGGGCAAGGTCATCAGTATATACTTTCATTGCACATAATAATTAGTTACTACAGATAACCATATTGATTGTGCCATTTGATTTTTAGATTTTTTAATATATTTTGATGATTACCCCTAAATACTACAGAAATCATCTCGATATATGGCAACACATTCACCAGACACCAACCTACTGCACACTGATACTCAATGAGATACCAAAATAGGTGAAAAGGGAGAATAGAAGAGTTTCTAAATTGAGATTACATTTCCATTACCAGTACAATGGGAATCTCAAAACAGAATTTAAGTTGAGTCACAGAGAAATAAGATTACATTCCCCACATACTGACTATATGGAGAGGGAGAGAAAGAGAAGGGAGAGACTCCCCCAGAGTTTCAGTAACATGAAATAGTGGCATTTCATGTAGACTCATTTTTTGTGACGCTTGTCAATATGAGACAGATAGTGTTAAATCAGAACTTTGTTTACCATCTCTTTCCCTCAGGAAAGCAAAAAACACTTATCTGAGAGCAAAAGGAGTTCAAGATATAAATATATAGAAGTGACAACAAAAACACTAAACCCAATCAACTTAAAATTTCTCCTGGTATATCTCATCTAGGTGTCAAGACTCAGCAGAGATGTTTGTTTTATACAAAGTTTCCACCAAAGCCATATTCCAATTCTCACAGGCAGTTCAAACCTAATAAACTGCTCACTCGAGTGGAACAGCCTAAACACTATCCTTTTTTCAATCGACTGCAGTCACTTTAAGTCAGAGAACATTTGGCAAGCTGTCGTCTGCCCCTGAGCCTAACTGTCAGAACCATTTCAACTAAACACATGCCACAGCAGGTATACACATCTCTTTGTCCACATCCATCTGGTTGATCCCTGATGCATACTTCTTAATATTTATTGTATTTTACTTAAGTACTTGGGAAAGAAGTACGGACACAAACAAATAGGAGGATATCTGGTGAGAGTGGCCTTTCACGAGTATAGGTTGGCCACAAAAAGTTGCACTCATCAATCTTGCTAATTTCCTATTTTTTATTTATTTTTACCTTTGAGGCCACACTGTAGGGGGCAGAGCTTGGAATAGAACTCAAGTCTTTTGACTTCAAATCAAGGCCACTGCTATTGCACCAACTGCTTTTAGCCATGTCCTGCAAATATGGGCTGCTAGAGTGATTTGGGGAAGCCCAAGAGAATGGAATCTGTACTCTACCTGGTACACAGTTTTGCAGCAAATGAACTTACAAAAGGCATCCTACCTGCCTCTTCCTTCCTATTAGAAAACCACTGTTCCCAGGAGGATAGGAGCAAGACATAAGGTCAGCAGAGCAGGAAGACAGGAGGAGTATGGCACCACGATGACACTGTGGATGTGCTGCACTAGCCCTGCCCAACTACCTCCACATTCTGCAGTGTGAGGAAAATCATCTATTTGGTCATCTATTATGCCTACCAGATACCAAGACATAATTAAAGCAAGTATACCAGAGTTTATTTGCCTACTCAAAATTCATAGATAACTTGTATTCAATTTCCCCTCTTATAAACAAAGCTGCAGTTAGTATCTGCATATATGTTTGTTTCCTTGTGCAGGTATGTGAATGTTTCTCTAGAGTAGATTTGAAATGGGGGAATTTGAGACTGATAGACATAAACATGAACATAAACATGTTCAACTTTAACCAGAGTAACTCAAGAGACTATGACATCTCCACCAGCAGTGACTGAGAACTCTATTTCATCCTAGTGATAAATCTTGGTATTCCCTGGGTTTAATATGAACATCTAAATTTGCCTACCAGGCAAAATGAAAGTCCCCAGGAACAAACTCTAAGTATTAGAAAAGCTTTAGTCCCTGTCCACACAGTTTCAATGATTTATATTTCTTCAGCTTGGTTTTAAGTACCAGGACTTTCTGTATTTCATATAATTTTTAAAGGTTATTTCAATATAAATGGAATGGGAGGGAACAGAACAAGCAGGCTCTCAACACTCAATGGCTTCTTTAATGCACTGTTCCTTCCTTTAGTCCTCTCTTTGCCTCTCAGTCATATATTTAATTTTAAATAAACCATCATTGATTTCACCATTACACTTATGCCTACACATTTTGGAAAGAAAAATGAAGTTAGGGCTCAGAGTGGCTCTCCTTCCTCCCAGGTTCAGTTCCTACAGAACACCTCTGTCCCCACTCACTATGCTCCTTGAACTGCACAAAGGCACTACCGGTCACCCCCCACCCCCAAGTACTTTCTTGATTTTGTGTGCACCTTAAAGGATTCCTGTGGATCATCCTGAGATTTGGGACCCTAGAAGCATGAATCCTTTGATGGCTTGAATAACCTCAAGTGGGGGATGGAAGAAGAGGAAGGTGAGATTGGCAACCAGAAAGCCCCAGCAACATTCTTCAGAAGCCATTTCAGTGGATGTCCACACCAGATCTTGAGGTACTTTGTATCTGACTGTTTGGCTGGTCTTGGGCGAGAGAAGACCAGAAACCTGTGTCAGGGTGCTCACTGGCACACAGGGAAGGGAGTGGCTGAAGTATTCCTGTTGTCAGTTATTAGTTGAGAGGGCCCATCTTGCTTGTAGCCATATCAGGGCAGCTGGCTCTGGTTCTGGATTAGCAACCGAAGAAGAGTAGGTGAGCACACATTTTAATAGCTTGGGGTCAGTGTTTTGGGGATCTATCCATAAGACTCTTTCAATACCCCAGATGGACACATTACACATCTTCATCCATGGGTTCCCCAACATTTCCACAAAGATATAGGGCAAGGAGTGTTTGTGGTGGGTGTTTTCTGGTATACCCCCAACAGAGGCATAAAGGTGGTAGGCTCCATGTGCTCTGTCCAGCTGCTAACCCCAATTATTCACTCTGCCCATTGAATAGGACCTGGAGATTATATGGTGAGAGAACTATTGGCAATTCAAGAAGGTGATTTCTTCCTTTTTTTTTTTTTTCTTCAGTTTGCAGCTCTTTGCATCAAAGCTAAGGTACATCACTGATCTGGGCTTTCTTGGCAGTGGTCCAGTGGTTTCACCCCAAATACACATTAGAACACTTCAACTGGGGGGGCTGTGGGATATAGGCATTGCCATGTTGTGAAAACTTATCAGGTAACTTGAAATGTGCATTTAGTTTTGAAATTGGTTTAGACTAGCTTTGCCCTAGATGGAGGCTTATGCTCATGATGACTATCAGACTTAGCAAAAGTGACTGACTTCAGCATGAAAGCAAATGCCACTGTCAGTATGGAGTTATTGCTGGGGCAAGACTATAGTGATGTTTCCCTTTTCACTTTTACTGTTAGGAAGCTTGGAGTCCATTAAGTAGTCCATCTTTGACAAGCATATAGAACTTTGTGTAATAATGACTGCAAAGGTTTTTCCTACCTTACTTTCTCTGTGATAATTTTAACACATTTTACCTTATATTGCATCCTTCTTTGTAACTATCCTCAAAATCTTTTGAAAAATCCCAGAATATTTCTACCTTCATTTATACTCTTTCCATCTATATCTTCATGTATACATTTACCTATAACTTCTTTACTTCCATTTATGTTTCACTTCTACCACCACATATGCCTCAGCTGTACCTCTATCTTTACCTTTATCTATGACTATGCGGGAGACAGAGTCCTCCTCCATTTTTGTGATTTCCATTGTGTGTTTTTAACACAAACAGGAATATGAGAACATAATTAGGAAGCTTCTAACATAAAGAAAACTCACATCTGCTCTACAACCACCACTGTGTTTCCATGAGGAAGCTTTCCATTGACAGATGTACTAATGGGCCTGTGACACAGAACCCCAAACTTAAAAAGTTCTAACCCATCAAGAAATCCCATTCATCATTTCATTTTTTGGAAAGGATATAAAAAATGAAATGTCAGAGCTATAATGTCAGGACCGTTTAAAATGTCAAGTGCTTGTTGTTGCATAGCCTGGCTGTCTGCTGTTCTGATCCAAACCTCCAACTGGCATAATAATTACAGATGATGCATTGCATTTTCATGCACAACTGGACCCAGATTTATAACAAATCAGATGGAAAATTCTCATTGCCTAGCCTGAAGTTTTCTCCTTTCACTACATACCTTAAGGTTTTTCCTTTGGAACAGAATATTATTACTGATTCAAGACAGACTTCAAGGTAAAGAATAAGAGAGAAGGACAGAAAAAAGTTTCTCAATAGACCAGATCTCAGTCATTTATACTATACAGATGCATTTATAATATACAGAGCCAAGAGGCAGCAAACACTTTTGCCAAATGCATGTTTAATCTAAGAAGAATACTAAACTGTAGAGACACTGTCCAGATAATCCAGTTCTATTTCAAGATATAGATTAAATATCTGAGGACATACACATGTGAGCTCTATTTTGAACTTACAGATAATGGGGACAAGCCTTCAGTTTAATCATTATATTGTAATCTGCAGAGAGAGCACTAATAGATAAACAGAAAACAGCAATACTTCTGTCTAGGATCCTGATGAAAGTTTCTGTTGGACTTAAGAGATGTATTTATAAGCCAATACCAATTATAATAAAGACCTGAAATCAATAACACGTATATTCTCAACTAAAAGATTTATGTCCAGTGAAAGCTGAGAAAGGTGTTCTCAGTAGCTACTTCACTTTCACCTTACCTGAACTTGCCTCGCCATTGGTTTGGAGGAAGCCTCTCCCTGTGTCCGGCTGCTTCCCACCGCAGATTATTTTCAGTATATTAGAAAAGTGAAAGCTCTTGGGCAAGGTCTCCAGAATATCCTGATCTTTTTCCATGATACTGATGAATTCCTCTAAACTGAATTCTTTTGGAAAATAATAGATAAACAATTAACAAGAGGCTTTTTCATATATGTATTGATTGGCATCTACATTTACTGGCATGTATACAGTATATAGACTGATATTTTTCATATTCTTTTGATATCTCTTCACTTAAACTAGACTCTAAATTCTTTGAAAACCTTACATAGAAGAGCACTCAATGGTAGGGTTGCCAGGGAAGATAAAGATGATGAATATGTTCTATTTTTATCTTGAATTGCTTCTTGGCCTTTAGGCTAAGATCAAAGGTATTTTTACTTTGAGTTAACACTGGGTAATTTACCTAATGTTCACATACACATCTACATCATATATACAATAGTAGTTATTTGGCTTCTAGTCTTGAAGATATGGCCAATTCATAGGAGCATGAAGGTAGCCAGGTTTCTAAAATCAGAAGGAAATGATTATTAGCAAAGTTGTTTTCAAAGCTGTCCAAAGCTATAAGGAAAGTCAAACATTTATAAATTGCACATATAATTTTTTAAAGATTTATTTATTTATGCATACAACAGCTGGGGTACAGGCCAGAGATGTGGGGGGTGAGAGGATTCACCAGAGACAGAGTGTGGAACAGAACAGACAGACTGACTAAAACACACTGCTGAGAGGAGCAGCTGGCGCAACAGGAGAGGTCTGCTATGCCATGTGGGAATCTCCCTGGCTGGCCAGGGATTGAACTCGTGCTGCAGAGGCTGTGGATCACTTCATAGTGCAGTGCTTAACCCCTTTGCACATATCATTATTGGTTACTGGTTTTTCCTTTTCTGATTTTGGATTTCTAATTTTATCACTTGACTTACACCTAACGCCTATTCTGGCCAGTCCAGACTATGCCTTCCTTATAATTAACCTGTGGATATATGCCAAAAATTAAAGGGTGGTTTCTGGTCTCCCCAGAAAGGATCACTTGTGCTTCCCACCAAAGAATCTGGTAGTAAAGAGTCAACATCAGTAAGAGATGATTGGCTGGAGGTCACAGGACACAAAGGACCTAAAAAGATTATTGAGTTTTATTATTTTGTTTTACATTTAGAAGCACACCTCACAGCTACCTTAAAAGCCCACACAGCTTTCATCAATAAAAGGAGGGCATTGGCTCTGACTTGCAAGGCACCTAAAACTGTCTTTTCATATGTAAAACAGGTATGAGAATTGTACTTCCTCACAGAAGTAGCTGTGAAGGTTCTGTGAAAACATGTATGATTTATGGGATACAGTAAGTGCTCAATAAATGTTAGTGATAAAGTTAAAAAAAATAAATGCACACTTCAATTTGTGTAAGACATAGTTCAAAAAGTGCACAATTGGGCCTCACCTGGTGGCACAGCAGTTGAGCACTGGGCTGTGAAGCTGCCCGTCAGCCTCTGAAGGGCTGGTTCAATCCCTGGCCGCCAATTCGGTCCCTGGTCGCTGGTGAGGGTCCCACATGACACGCACACCTCTCCTGCTGTGCCCCCTGCTTCCCTCAGCAGTGTATTTCATCAGTCTGCCTGTTCTGTTCCCCACTCTGGCTCTGGTAAAGAATTCTCTCCTCCTCCCACACTTCTGACTGTACCCAGTGTTTGTATAAATAAATAAATAAATCTTAAAAAAATATGAAAAAGTGCACAATTTTATTTTTATGTATTGAAATAGACATATGCACATAATTCACATTTACATTATTTAGGGCTGTCTGTTGTGTCGGGGAACCTGTTTTCTGCTCCCAGAGAGCCATGTTTTGGGTGTTCTTAGATGACTCACTACCAATCTCAGCAGTTGCATTGGTAACAGTGCAGCTATCATGAACATTTTCTTCAGTCCTGGTTGCAATATCCTGTTGCTATTTCTGCCTCATGTATTTCTTCCCATAGGCACCTGAAAAACAAAAAATTACTCCCTTCCCCCACAAAAGCCAATATTTATTGTGTATACCTATATCAGCATTTTTGCTCTAAAAAAGTCATCCTGGTTTTTAAACCAGTCTGAAAAAAACAAGATTTTTTTCCAATTCTTTCTAATTCTTTTAAGTTACAATTTCATGAAAAATTGTGCAAGGGCTGGGATATTAGCACAGATAGGAAGGGAGAAGGTACTCAGGACATAAGAATGGCCAGATTTTCAAGGGAGGATGCAAGTGAAGATTTTAAATCACACAGGTTGGTACTCATTAGCAAAGCGCACTGGAGGCATCAGAAGCACTTTATAGAAGAGTTTTATGAGCAACAGTTTCTTTTCTTACACAGTAACTCTATTCCTTTTCAATTCCTGGTAGTTGCCAGTTTTCCAGTTTGACCTCACAGCTCTCCTCAATGCTCCAGGATAAAACACTGGTCTTTCTGGTAAATCACTCAAAAAAAGTCTTCTTTTATGTTCTGTCCCTGTTTTCTTTTTCCTAAAATATCTGCTTAATGGTTACCCTATTTCATTTCTTCTTTGACCTCATTCTGTCTCTTTTCACTTTCACAGTTTATTATTATGAGCTAGTTAAGTCTTCCCTGTCCCTGTGCTATTTGGTGCTATGTCAAACTTGCCTGGGCACTTGATGTTGTGAATAGCATCTATAAATCTTCCTAAATCATGTCAAGAACGACTTATAACCAGTGCATGGCAGAATGCAGATTGCTATTCTTCTAGTAGGGAAGGCTGCAGAATTCCATGCTTAATCACTTATCCTCACTTGTCTTGCTGTTCTGTTTTTATTCTTCAGTCATATTGAATGTTGAGCTGGAATTTTCTGTCTTTCTGATTCTCTTCAAGCTCTCTTTCAGGATGTCTTTGTTGTTAATATGAAAACAAAACTGACTTGTTGAATCTGAACAGTAATCCAAGCTCATAGTAAAAAATTTCAAACTCTACAGAAAGGTGTAATGAGAAAAAAGAATATCCCTTCAATTTCTGTCTGGTACGCAGTGCCACTTAACCAATGGCAGTTAACTTTTGCTGATAAGTTCATGTTTACATATTCTGAAGTTTGTACACTAACTGGGCTACCTTTTCTCAAAAGTACAATTTTAGCACCTTTTTCCTGATACATGGAAACGACCCAGCTACCTCTGAAAATAGCTCCTAATAAATTCCATATAAAAGCACATTCTATCAGTGTCAGCCCTGTATATATCTTTGCTAAGACACAGTTCATTTTTATTCCAAAGTGCAACTAGTTTGAGATCTTCCTTTTGCAAAAGCCAATGATATGTTTTTTCCATAAATGCAACTTTGTATCAAATCAAAATGATTGATATCATTAGTTCTATTAGTTATTTCAAAAACCATAACTTCTGACATATTCTTCCAGGTCAAAGAGCCCATCTCCCTAACAGTTAATTTCAGTTATTGTCTGAGCAATACCTTCTCTCTTCTGGATTCATATTCCTTTTCAACCCAATTCTCTCTATTCCTAGGCCACTTCCAACCACATTTCCCGTTTTATTGATGTCCCAGCTGCTTCATCTAATACTAATCTAATACATCCAACACTAACTCAGCACTCTTTGTTCATTATCTAAGGAGTTAGCCCAAACAAAGAACATGTAAGGATCCCATAAACATAACAAAACCTACAGTAATTCTCCTGTTTGATGATGACCATTTTCAGTGATTATTCCAAATAATGTTTTCATAAGACCTCATAAGACTCTCCATACTACATTTATCTGGTTCTTTCTTGGCTTTTACCTCCCTACCAATCTAGGTAGTCTGTTCCTTGCAAACTTTAATGGAAACTGAAATTTTATTATTGATCCATATAGATACAAATATAAATAATTAGACAAAATTACTTTGATTTGGGTAAACTAGTAAGTGAATATGCTGGCTTGAGATATAGGCAAGGCAGACCTAGAACTAGTTACTTAAGTAAAGAAGAAGATTGATGTTATTGAAACACTTCCAGATTGTTTTTCTGGAATTATGCACTCATCTAATCATTCATCTCATTCAGAACACTGATTTCTTTTGAACTCTTTTGAAGCCTCCTCACCAACTCATTCTGCCACACCCAGCATGGTCTGCACTTCCCTCTAGTGTCCACTGTGAGAAGTGACCCAGAACAGGCAGGTTTATTCTGTGGAGATACTTTGGATTGATGATAATCATGGCTGAATTCCAATGCCTCATATAAACCCATTCTTTAAAAAAAAACAAAAAAAAAACCCTTACTAATGTCATATTTTCCACAATGACAAAATGTGTATTTTTTGAGGACTGTAGATGTTCTGCCTCAATCTCAGGTCAATATGCTCACCTACCAGTTAAGTGAAACCAAAAACACTTGGTGTAAGCACTTCCCCTTCTGGAATATCTGTGTCTTCTCTTTTCACTCCTGCCTCTAAAAAAAAAGCGCACCTCTTCTGAGTTAAAGGGGAACCCATATAAATTAGAAAGAGCAAGTGGATAAGTGAGAAGAAAGAACAGAAATGTAGAAAAGACAGAAAGAGTAAAAACGGAGATAAGTTAAGCCAATTCTTTCCAGAAAAACATAATGGAAAAGGGAGAAATCTGATGACAGAAGAAGATGGGATTATTGAAGGCAGGATTTCTGTATAAGGGAAAACATTTATTTGTAAGTAGATGAGAAACCTCCACCAAAAAGGAAATAATGACTAGAATATATCTCAGAGAAAGTAGCAGAGGGCCCTTTTCTCTCATTCTTCTACTTTTCTTTGCTATATTTCCATTTACTCTTCTTCATATATCCCAATATAAATATGATAAATATTTACTCAATTGAATTGTACCAATTGTACCAATTGAAATTATCAAATTCTGAAGCCCAAAAACTAAGGTTTTCTTGAAAGGTTCACGCTTTGGTCTCAGTGGCACTCACCACCACATCTTCCTACTTGCTGAGAAAAGTGAGCTTAAGGAAAGTAGCTTTCTTACCATCATTGCTTGTATCAATTCTATGAAGCACTAGGTTGGTGAATTCTTCAGGACTCAGAATTTGCTGACCATTGAGGGTTTGCATCGCCTACAAAGGAAAATTAAATCAGAGAGTTTAATTTTGCTGGAAGCAAATACACTATGCAATCTTTCTACCACAGTATGATAGAATTTAGGGATCTATTAATGTAAGTTTTGCTATCCCACCTGTTCCAGGTATTGAAATAAATATAAAGGTTGCATATCAGTTCTGGGTAATGACCTCTTAAGAAATTAAATTAACTACAAACAGCATGAAGTCTTTCATATAGCACAAAGGGATCCATTCAATACATTAAGTAATAAAGATGCAAAGAGCCCATGGGAGAGAAAATTGTAGTGGTCACTGTCAAAAGAATTCTGGACCCAGAAAATAGACAATGTTTTAGATTTCAGGCGGGTTGACTTTGATCTTGTGGATGATCATAAAACATACTCTTTGCTTCTTCATGAAGCACATTTACATTTATGATTGCCAGTAGCCTCCTGCTACTGGCTCCTTGGTCTTTTGTGCCATTTTATAGACAAGACAGATATGCATGTGCCTTAGAAGGAGGTTGAACATCTCTCTCGCCCTGCCACCACCTTTTCATCATAAGAGCTGTCAGGGGACCCAGGGAAAATGACATTTCCAGCTTTCCTAGAGGGAAGATTTAACTACTTTCTCCCTTCCCCACACCCCAAGCCATTAAATTAAATGACCCATATTTGATGTAGAAATTCATAATAAAATAAAAGAGGGGAGGGAATTAATCATCTGGAATTTTAAATGTAGCTATCTTGATTGAATATGAAGGGATCTTAAAAAAAAACTGCTGGCAACATATTTCAATTAGAGGGCATGGTCTGAAATATGACTTTCTTTTGCTGCTTCCCAAGCATTACTAATCCTGAATCCAGGATTAATCATAATAAACAGTGCTGGCAAAGCACCACTCTAGACCTTAGCAAGTGGAGACCTCACAGTTAAATATAACATAGTTTTTAGAGTAATGATTAAAAACACATAGCATTGAATTAATGAACATTTTTAGTTTCTCAGTGTTTTGGCATGTGTCCCAAAAGCCTAAAAAATTTGGCTGAGTATCCAATATTCTCACATCCTGAAGTGATAATAGACCACATGGGGAAGTCATAATAAAGATTGTGAAATTTCTAGAATTTATCCATCATTCATATCTGGGCAATATGTGAGAGTGAAAGATAGACTGGGAGGTTCATGAGGCCTATGGGGTTGTTTTTGGAGGGGGTGGTCAGTGTGATCTGTGTTTTCCCTCTTGTTGGGGGAACAGCAGGAGGAGGGGGAGCCAGGAGGCATAGCTTTTTTCCTTCTTTCCTTCCACATGTAGCAGTAGTCTTTGCTTCTTCATGCAGCACGTTGACTCCTGTTTCCCAGGCCCTTCTCTCACCAGTCTCTACCTGGGAGCAGGAGCACTCTGACATGGCAGGAACTGTCCCGATTATCTAGCTTCTCAGCTCTTTGGATGGCAGGTGTGGAAGTGTGCTCTTTCTCTGAAAATCCGAGTTAATTGCTAAGACTCTGATCACTTGAAGCTCCATCCGCAGGCTCCAGAGCTGGGTTTCTCAATATCTATACAAATGACACTTTGGACAAGACAATTCCTTCTCATTCAGAACTGTCCTGCACATTAGAGAATGTTTAGCAGCATCCCTGGGCCCTAACTAATAGCCAGCACTAGCACCACATCCTCTCCACTCCCCAGTTGATAACCAATGTCTCCAGAAATTGCCAAATGATCCTGATGAGGGGAAGTGCAAAATCATTCCTGGTTGAAAACTTTTCTCTTGCTCTGCATCTAGATTTCTCCTTCTAAGGTTTCCTCAGGCGTCCATTGGTTCAGTGGGATAAGGTCCAAGACAACTCCATGCCAACTTCCTTTCATAGTGGCCCATGTCTAACCCATGGAAATACTTTAGCATCTTTCATCCCAACAAATTCTAGGAATGCAGATTCTTCCTAAACGTCACCCTTCTACTCTGCTGCCAGAGTCTGCTTCTTTAGATTTTCAGGTATAACTTAAACACTGGAATGTTCTGTTCCTCAAAAGGCAGGATGAATTCATATTTAAATGGTCAAAGTGCTTAGATTCTATTCTACTGACGTGAGAGCGCTTACCTAACAAACCTTGTCCAACAATCCTCAAAAATCCTCCTCTTGACCATTTTATAAACCTGAGGTGTGATGAAGATGTGACTAGTTCCTTTGTAAATTCTGTCTTATACTCTTGCATTTTAACATCCTGTTATGTGTTGAGAGAACTTATATTTTACAGTATCTCTTATTCCTTATCCTGCTTTTTTCCATTTGCTTTTATATAGAAAGTATGTTCACAAATCACTAATTTTTAATAAGTTCATATTGAGTTAATTTACTTAAACATTTCCTTATTTTAGTTTTTTTTATTTTTACTATCTTTAGTAATTTTATTTTAAGTGAGTCTATGATGCAAATCCGAACTTTCATCTTGATGAGATGACTTTTTTTCCTGACCAAAAAAAGAAGTAATGAATTCTAAAATGAAGATAAGTGTCTTGATACAGATTACTAAATTTCCAGGGATGTTATATTCACTTATGTTCCCTCCACAGTGTGTGAGGATGTCCTTCTTACTGTGCCCTTGCAAAATTATATCTTCTTGCTTTTTAATATTTATTAATTTAATTGGTGACAAATACTAACCAATTGTCAAATTAATTTAGGTCTGTGCTTATATTATCTCCAGTTCCTACCTTCTTTTTGCTCTGTACCTAAACATTTTAAAGAAAATCTCAGCTTACATGATATTTTTCTTTCCATGACTTAAACATCTTAATTGATGAATATATAAATTTTCCCATAAGATTTAAACAAAATCTCTTTTACCTTTTAGTTCTTACTTTGTTTTGAGAATCCTTCCCCCCAAAACGGATAGCATGTAGGCAAGACAATGCCCTTTACTTTGAGGCTTGCAAGGAAGGATTCTTGAAGATGCAGATCCTTTGATTCCAGCATAAGAGCCCTGCTATGAGCACTGCTTTGGAGTAATCCCTTAATATTATATATTGTATTACACATTAACTGTTTAAAAAAATAAGCTTGGGTATATTTAAGAGTATAATTCAAAATATACATGGGGTTAGAAACTATTGAATATTTTAGATTCTTAATTTTGTGCTGCAACATACAATAATGTATGCAGAATTGCTGATTTTTAATGCTTACAGAGTTCAGTTACAAAATTCACCTTAGTGGGCACTCTCCGACCGGCAGAGAGGAGGAAAACAACAAACCAAAACGGCCCACAAGAACAAAGGACGCAGCAAGCGGGACTGTGAGTGGAAAGGAACTATTGCAGCCACCACACCCCGTGAACGGGAGCTGAGGCGAACCCTGCAGGATTCGCCTCGGCGGTGAGCTAACGGCTCCGGGCGCCATTAGAGAAGAACAAAGACCCCGGGAGACGCGCACACAGCCCGGGCTGCCAGTAAGCCTGCGCGGAAACGCGGCGTGCTTGGCGCGCTTGAAAAGCAAGTGCAGACCTGGATCGCGGCTGCCCAGGTCCCCGCGCCTGCGACCTAGGCTTGGGAGACGACCTAGGCTTGCAGGGAGACGCGCGGAGGTCCTCACTGAGGTGAAGGTCCCTCCCTGAGTGAGCAGGAACCAGGCGTCCAGGCACAGGAGCGATGCAAAAGGCGCCATTCCCGCGCCACTGAACTGGGCTACAGCCCGCGTCCTGGAACTGAGGGCTTTGGAACTGAGACCCGGGGCACGAAATTAGGGGCGTGGGTTCCCCACGACGGTGGGGCACAAGGCAGACACAGCACCCCAAAGCCGTTGAGGTGTACCCTACCATCCCCGCTCTGCTCCCTGTCCCACGGGGTGGAAAATCAGCTCCCCAAGGGCTCTAGGAGAGATCTCTGGCGCCACCTAGCGACTTGAAGCCAGCACAGGCTCCTGAAGGAGCTAGTGGCCAGCTGGGGAGTTAGCCCACACCGGGACCCTTCCAAACAAGTAGTCTGAGCCCACAGGGAGAGCGAGCACCCACAGCCGGGGCAGACCAGGCGCGCAGAAGAATGTGCCTGAGACTGGACGCGCAGGGAGTGTGTCCCACATCACCATTTTAGAACAGGGACATTTCTTCAGTAAAGACTACCTGCACAAGGCTTCCTCAGGAGCCAGAGGTGAGCAGGGGAAGTTCGCCCACGCCAGACCCCCTCTGGCCTGCAGTCCAAGCCCAGAGGGGCAACAGGAACCCACCGCTGGGGCAAACCAGGTGCACAGGGGAGTGTGTCCCCACATTGGCATTTTAGGACAGGGACCTTTCTCCAATAAAGACTGCTTGAAACTGACAGATGACTCCTGGAGGAACCAGAGGGGAGCAGAGAAGCCCACCCAAGATGCCGGCCAGTCCCAACAACACAGTGTCCCAACGCATACGGCAAATTAGAAAACAGACAGTAGGGAGGAGAAGAACCACACGCAACCTAGCAACTCTCCAGAGAAAAAGCACACCACAAAAAGAAAACCAGCCCCCAGATGGCAACGACAGTAACTTGGAAGAACTTCTGAGCCTTCCAGAAAGAGAATTTAAAATTGCTGTGATTAAAAAACTGACAGAAGTCATAAAGGAAAACAATGATAAGGGAAAAATAATCAACGATCAGAAGAATGAAATTGAGTCCCTAAAGAGGGAAGTAAAAGAAATGCAGGAGATCAAAGAATTAGTGGAAGAACTAAAGAATTCTGGGAAAAGCAATGAAAGCAGAATTGATGAAATGGAAGAACGAATAAGTGCTCTTGAAGACACAGAAATAAAAAGAGCCAAAACAGAAAAGGAAAGAGAAGTACGAAGGAAAAAGAATGAAGAAAGACTTCGGGAACTATCTGACTCCATGAGGAAAGGAAATATAAGAGTTATAGGAATACCAGAAGGAGAGGAGAGAGAAGTAGGAACAGAGAAAATATTCAAAGAGATAATTGAAGAGAACTTCCCAAATGTGAAGAAGGAGCTGAAAATTGATATACAAGAAGCAAGAAGAACACCAAAC